TATGCCAACTACACCCAAAAAAAAAAAAAAGGAGATAATGGTATTAAGGTTTGGTCTAATAATATGTTTTTAATATTAAAAAGGCAGATAATAATAGGTTTCAAACTCTGAAAACATCACGTAAGCGTATTACATCATTAGCAAGTGCCGTCAACTCAACAAAAGAGATTTGTTTTGTTGTAGGTTTTGACGGGTATAGTATGCACATGCGGGAGTGTACAATAACCCCCTCGGACATAATAGCTACTTGGGAAGGATTTTTTTAGCCCAAGTATTCGGATCCATCTAAATATCACTTGACAATTGTTATAAAATAAAATATTTGGAGTTTGACATCTTGAACATGTAGATCTTTCTCTCCAAAGATTAGAACGGTTCCTATGAACGTCATTGTCTACAAAAGAGTGAGATTTAGGTTCTTTTAAAAAAAAAAAAATTATTTGAGGTTGGTCCTAGATTACGTCCCCATATTTAGGATCTAAAAAATATCGCTAGCATTACTTTTGCCGGAGGGAGTATATGGCCAGTATAGTCCCGTGAGAATAGGAATATTTTGGCCTAATTTTAATCTAGACAATGAAATTTGATAACACGAGTTAGTTTAAGAGCACCTAAGCACCCAAGGATCTTCCTTTCTAGACGTATATGGTATTAGGTGAAAATGTATTAACACGCTAATAAATTTTAATATTAGAAGATTTTTTGCTGCTATAAGAGTATACTGTCCATCTGTTAGGTGAAAATGGATTAACACACTAATAAATTTTAATATTAAACGATTTTTTGCTCCTATAAGAGTATACCGTCCGTTTGTTACATCGAATAAAACTCAAATTAAGACTTTTTTTTAGGACATAAAATTGTGGAGATGTAGTCTATTGTACCTATTGACGAACCTAAAAAACATAAATTCAAACCACACTCTCTATATGCCTCAAAATAAAACGTCCAAGGAATAAACAACGACCTTCTAATTTCTGGACAATAAGATCTAAATGTTGACAAACTCAAAATCCATTTCTTTTAGTTAATCATTTGTTGAATCTTGATAAATATACCTGTATATCCAATTGAAAAATTACATTTACAAAAATCTCCCCAAATTTTTGTACATGCATATCCCTTTTGTATGTCTTTTCTTCTACTTCTTTTTTCACAAAAATTTTACCCTTACTTTGGAATCTTTTTTCTTTCCTTTTTTTTAAGTGATTTTTCTTGACTTTGGATCTGAATATTAGACGTTACATGGAAATCTTAATTAGAATGCAACTTGAGATATTGAAAATCCGAAGTCAATAATGACTATGGATTTTTGACATCCCAAGTGATTTTGATTTTTTCCTAAAACATGACTTTAAAAAAATAATGCCATGTCTATTAAAAATACAAAGTCATTTTTGAGTTTGGATATTCGATCTCCCTAGTCAAGGGTAACATTCGAATAAAAAAAAGAGAGACAAAAGGGATACCAAAATTAAGGGGGACTTTTATACGAGATGGTAGACGATGAAAAGTTTATATAGAGCTGAGGCTCTAAACAATCAAATTAAAGCCTACCTCAAAAGTTTCACTTGAAGAGGTTGTTTTGATGCCTAAATATCTTCAAATTGATCATCTCAACATCAAGATGCATGGACATGAGAAAAAAATGGATTTCAAAAAATAGGAGATTTTTTTCTTATATTTTGGTTCAAACTTCTTAAAATAGGTATCTATCCCAAACTCAAATTCAAGAGAGAGAAAAATATACATACATATCAACCTATCCATATATATCTAAGATGGTTTCCATATCTAAGAAGATTCATCATCCAAACATGATGACATATCTCAATGAAAGCATGCCTCACTTTTTTTTCTTTCCTATTTTTTAGTTCGAACTTCCTAAAATAAGTACATGATGACATATCTCAATGCAAGCATGGCCCACTTTTTTTTTTTTTCCTAGTTTTTAGTTCGAACTTCCTACAATAAGTACCAATCCCCAACTCAAATTCAAGATATATATATATATATATATAAGATTGTTTCCATATCCAAGAGGACTCCCCATCCAAACATGATAACGTCTCTCAATGGATGCATGCCTTACTTTTTTTTCCTTATTTTTGTGATTCAAAATTCCTAAAATTGGTACCTAACCCCAACTCAAATTCAAGAGAGAGAAAGATATGCATAGACATCTAAAATTGTTTCCATATCCAATAGGGTTCCCCATCCAAGCATGATAACCTTTTGTTTCCCCATCCAAGCATGATAACCTCTATCAATGCATACACGCCCCACTCTATCTCTATCTCTTTCTCTCACTAATTAGGGTTTTGATGTTTTTTTTTTTTTGACGAAGATCATAAATATTATTAAAAAAGAGGTTACCCCTAAAAACTTGCGGAAAAGTTGCATGAACACCTATCACCAAATCAAAGATTTGAAGCCATAGAGATTTGAGTTCTCAAGGAACCCTTAGCTCTTTTTTATACCATTTAATAACGTTATGTGAATCTCCCTCAACAATACAAGATCTACCCTAAAACTTAGAATGAAGAAGTTTTAAACCTTGTAGAAGAGTTGTCATTTCAACAAAGTTAGCAATGGCTTCTCCAATTGGACATGTGAATGAGAGAAGAACTACACCATTGGAATCACGAATAACTCCCAATGCTTGCCACCCCAGAATTTTCTTACGAACTCCCATCAAAATTTAACTTTAGCCTATTAGGCAAAGGTGGACACCGTACAATCCTAAGCCTAATCCTCACTGGTCCCAAAAAAATTAAATTGTAGAACTATATCATAACATCCACCTCTGATATTCCACATCCTTCCTGAAAGAAAGACCTATGTGATCTTTTATCGGGGAATACAAATTTTTTTTTTTTTTCACCCCTTTTTTTTGACAAAAGGTCACTTA